GAATTTTCTCTTTGTTTTGTGCGTGTAGTGTTTTTACTACGATGTGCCGTGGAGAGTTTCTGTTTTGGTCCTGTCTGTTTGGTGTTCTGTATGCTTCTGTGGTCATTTAAAACTGGGAATATTTTGGTCCAGGCTCTTCTGGCTTTCATAGTTTGCATTGAAAAGTCAGCTGTGATCCTAATGGGTTTTCCTTTATATGTGACTTGTTGTTTCTCTTTTGCAGCTTTCAGAATTTTCTCTTTGTTTTGTGCGTGTAGTGTTTTTACTACGATGTGCCGTGGAGAGTTTCTGTTCTGGTCCTGTCTGTTTGGTGTTCTGTATGCTTCTTGTATTTGTATGGGCATGTCTTTCTTTAAGTTTGGGAAATTTTGTTCCACAATTCTGTTGAAGATCTGGTCCATGCCATTATCTTGGGATTCTTCTCCTTCCTGTATGCCTATGATTCATAAGTTTGGTCTTTTTATGATGTCACACAATTCCTACATATTCTATTCTTGTGATTTCTTAAATTTTTCATAATCTTTGCTTGAGTGGTCCAGTTCGTCCACTTTATCCTCCAGTCTTGATACTCTGTTTTCCATTTTGTTCATCCTATTGGTGAGGCTTTCTCCTGTCATTTCTAATTGGCTTACTGAGTGTTTCACTTTCTTCTTCATTTCAGCCTGAGTATTCTTCAATATTTCTCTTTTCTGAATTCATTCATAAGTTTATCCCTATCTTCCTTCAGTTCTTTGATGTTTTCCATTTCACTCATTCATCCTATTGGTGAGCCTTTCTCCTGTTGTTTCTAATTGGCTTACTGAGTGTTTCACTTCCTTCTTCATTTCAGCCTGAGTATTCTTCAGTATTTCTAACTCTTTTCTGAATTCATTCAGAAGTTTATCCCTATCTTCCTTCAGTTCTTTGATTTCTTTGTGTGTTCTTTAAATTCACCGAATTCTTTTATCATGTTTATAATTGTTCTTTTGAGTTCCATGTCCTGCATTATCTCTAGGGGGTTCTCACTGTACTCCTCTAGAAGCCTTGGTATTTGGTGAGGATATGTTATTTTGGTTTTTCATGTTATTATTTTTTCTCTGTGATTTTTTGACATGTGAATTTCTTTTGTAGTTTCTGGTTCTTGTGTGAAACTCAAACCTTCAAGTTTAGGTCTGCTTCTTTTTGTGAACTTTATGTGTCTTTGTGGTTTATTTTTTGGGCATGAAAAGCTGGTTCCTCTAAGTTTCTGGTTCTCTCTTTTGATTTTATTTTGGAATGACCAGATTGCTTTTGTCTTCAGGAGTTGCCACAAAGGCCCGAGTTAGATGAGGATCAGATGCTCTCACCCTCCAGGAAAGATTTTGGCTTCAGGAATTTGGAGATTGGACTGGCCTGGGAGCTGGGCCCAGGAAAGATGCTGGTCTAGGGCAGCTGGTGGCTGTGCCACCCAGAGATGCAAAGGAAAATGGAGGTGGGAAGCAGCCCCAAGAGCTCCTGGGGTCTGCACTGAGAAGCTGGGTTGGTCTGGATGCAAAGGATCAGAAGAGGAAAGGTCAGCCCAGATGTCCAGGAAAGAGGCTGGTGGGTGGTACAGCCCATGGAAGCCAAGGGAGGTGAGGGCGAGGCCACGGCCCAGAGCACCGCTGGGGACCTAAGAAGGAACTGAGTTGGTTGGATGCAAAGATCAGGAAGAAGTGTTGGTTCCCCAGGTGTCTGGAGAGCCCAAAGGAGGAATGGGACAGGACCTAGGCTGGAAGGAGAGGCTGGCTGGGGAGATGGGAGGGTCAATGAGGCTGGGGGAGTCGAGGCGCGGAGGGCATGATGGACTTATGGGGAGAGAGGCCCGCGGGTTGTGCAGGCCTAGGGAAGCAAAAGGAGGTGAGTGCCGGCCAGGCCCAAAGGGCTCCTGGGAACCCGAGAAGGAACTGAGTTGGTCTGGATGCAAAGGATCAGGAAGCAGTGGTGGTTCCCCAGTTGTCTGGAAGCCCCCTTTTTAAATTTTTTTAAAAACAGGATCTCAAACCGTAGCTCAAGGGGCTGGCCCAGAACTCACTGTGCAGTCCCAGTCTGTCCTCAAGCTCATGGCAGTCTTCTTTTCTCCACATACTTCAGAATCAGGAGTGCTGGGATTACAGGCATAAGGCACCATGCCAGCAAAGAATATATATATATAGATAGATAGATAGATAGATAGATAGATAGATAGATCATAGAATAGGAAAGACTCTTTGGCTTTGAGGGACCATTGAAGAAAAAGAAGCCACAGACCAAAAATAGGGCCTTAATTTGATAAGATGTTGTACATAAAAGAAAATAGGTTGGTGGGGGAGGGAAAAGCTAAAGGAGGCTCTCAGGCTGTGTGTCTTAAACTTGACCACGTGTGTGAATCTCCTGGGTGTCTTGTGAAAATGCAGCTTCCGTTCAGTGGGTGGGGTTAGGGTGAAGCTGAGAGAGACTCTGATCTGTCCCAGATGGTACTTATGGGGCTGGGAGATAGGCCACGCCTATAAATGAGGGCCAGGCATACAGAGCACTTGTGAGCATAGAAACAGCCATGTGGGAAGCCACTAACCACCTGTTAGCAGGCAAGCCTTGCTTTAGAAAGTATTCAAGTCATAGTGCACTGCAAGCTCCACTCAAGTGTCCAGGTTCTGCTTGTTTTTTGCTTTGGAAGAAGAAGCAGGTTTTTAAACTTGAGAACAGTCTTGGACTTTCAAATCTTTCAATGTATCCAGCAAGTAATTAAATCAGATCCTGTGTCAAATAGCTCAAAATACAAGCAGGTATTCAGTCATTGTGTATTCGGTCAGGCACAGAGGGTGTTTTGATTTGGGATGAAGTTTATGTTTAATAGCATGTGGAAGCAACATTGTCAATATTTCAGCTCTGTGCCCTTCTTGCCTCTCAGGTTTGGGAAGTAGCTGTGCCCTACATCGAGAAATACAGAATGGAGCATATTCCAGAATCCAGGCCACTTTCTCCAACAGCCTTTTCACTAGAATCTCTGTGCAAGAATTCCATCAAAATCCCGGAGTCTGAAGATCTTTAATGGGCTTCATCATGGAGCAGCAGATGAGATGTCACTGAACCAAACGCAAAGCTGCAGTGTGCTGAAGGAGAGCCGGGGAACCGCCCACTGTGTGTGGGGCAAAGCTCCTTTAGAACCCGCTCTCATTAGGCTGGTGGCAGTGACACAGTTGCTGAACCCAGCACCGCATTCTTGGCACCGTGGTTGAGGAGTGTGGTATCTTCAGATGGTGGTGTTTTCTTTCTTTCTTAGCAATATTAACTTACTCTTTAGGCTACTTACTCTTAAGAATGACCACAATTACTTAGCTTTGTTTTTACTCAGCATTGGACAAACCGATTCAGGGCATTCTTCTCTTAAAAACAAATTTTGTGAACTTTTATTTTTTTTGAGACAAGGTCTCACTATATAGCCCTGGCTGGCCTGGAACTGCCTATGTACACCAGGCTGGCCTCAAATCCACAGAGATCTGCTAGCTGCTGCCTCCCAAGTGCTGGGATTAAAGATGTGTGCCACCATGTCCAGCATTATTTTTTTTTAATTTGTTTTGACAAACTCCCTAGTAGTTGACTTTTCTTGACTGATTGTACTATCCCATGATCTGACAAATGTTCCTTATATATGCCTTCATAATAAGCACTTCAAATCATATTTAAGCTGTTCTTCTTAGTGAATCAAGGTAAAGAATAGTGAGCATGGGACTGGGGTGATGACTCAGTGGGTGAAGTGGGTGTCCACGAGCATGAGGATCTGAGTTTGGACCCCCCGTATGCACAAAACAAAAACCAGGTATGGTGGTGAGGTGCCCCAGTTCCACTGCTGACAGGTTCACAGGCCAGCCAGTGTAGTATAAATAGTGAAATCCAGGTTCATTGAGAGACTCTGTCTCAAAAAAATAATGTGGAGAACAATAGAGAAAGATATCCTTACATCATCTGGCTTCTACATGTACCCACATGGGTAAGTGCACCTGCTCACGTACACATACACACACACACACACACACACACACACACACACACACATACACACACACACACACACACACACACACACACACACACACACACTGTAGTGAGCAGGCTGGAACCTATTAACTACAGAGTTTTTCCTTTAATGTTCCTGGTTATTATCTGTGACCTATTAACTACAGGAGTGTTTAAAACTCATAAGAAGTGCTCTGTGGGAAGGACTGCAGGAATGAATATAAAGATTGCTCTTGGAGTGGCCCTTGTCCAACTGTGTCTTTCATAAGTATCAAATCTCACCACATGTATCTCCTAAAGGCTTGGTGTATGCCCAAGTTGAAATGGAAGTTAGTAGTATCACTTTCTATATCTTAGTAGGTCAATTCACATGTTTGTGGTAACCTAGCTAAGCAGCATCCTGTTGCTTAGATAAGGCCTCTATGGAAAGGTAGGGGAGTTGACCAACCCACAGCTTGAAATGGTAATCATTAAAATGAGCCCCATTGACACAAGTCACATACGGTGCTCAGATGTATTGCCCAAGTTCTGTTTTTCCCCCAAGAAGATAAAGAATCTCCTAGGGAGGATTTTATAATTGCCCAGAAGAATGGGTTACATGACCTCTTGGCCTCCCATGGTTAAGATCTGTGACTTTGCACCCATCTCTACAAATGTGTTCAAAGTGCTACATGTGCAAGGGTCTGAACCATGGCTAGAAAGACTGAAGTTGGTCAACAAAAGGACTTGCCCACTTTCCTAGTTGATTGAAGCCTGGGGGGCCCAGCATGCATTCCCCAGTCGGTCTTCACTCTTTAGACTGTACCTCATATACAAGCAAGGCACAGGCTCAAGTGAGAACTGCTGCCTTCAGCAATTCAGGAGGCAAAAATGGACCAAGGAACCGATTTAACTGACTATTCTCTGTGTTAGTCTTTGCACACATAAATGGTTTATTCATTCTTACACTGTAGCTACAGTTGAGGCAGCAAGCCCCAGTGGACAGATCCTCCTCATGTCTATTTTGGAAATACTGGCTTTCTGTCTGCCCCTGCCATCTTTTGAAGGCACAAAGGCCCATCTCATCACTGAGCTCTGTTTGTTTTCTATCTTCAAGAGTACAAGGTAGATATGGGATAAACTGTCAATGCCTCCTAATCATTTTATCATTAGATTTTGGGGGCAATTGAGCCCAGGCTCTTGTGCACGCTAAGTACACGCTCCACCACTGGGTTGCACCTTAACCTCTTTCAGATTTTTTAATTAAACATTTTTATTAGCATTGCTTTCTTTACAAAAACTAGCACGATTACAAAGTTTAGAAACTTTGTATAGTTTGGAGAATTAGGAAACAGACTGAAAGACAAACACAAAAACAGTGACAAATTTCACATTATTGTTGAAGCTTAGTGGTGCAGTTTTGTCAGTAAATAATACTCAAAAATCATAGTAGACATATAGAATTGCAAATTTACATTCTAAAATATGATTGCATAGTTTTAGTTTGGGAATTATATCAGTTTAGTTACTACAGTACTTTCCTGTTTATTTATTTATTTTTTTAGCTTCCCAGACTGTGATTTTTTTTTTTTTTTTTTTTTTTTTTTTTTTTTTGTCTTTTGAGACAGGGTCTTCGTGTAGCCCCAGCTGTCCTGGATTCACCATGGAGACCAGGCTGGCCTCAAACTCACAGAGATCTGCCTGCCTCTGCCTCCCGAGTGCTGGGATTAAAGGCATGTGCCACCATGCCCGGCAGACTGTGATTTTTAATCTCTAAGAAGTTCAACTGGGTGTTTTACATTTTCTGTGGGGCACAGGTGAAGGCACACTGGGGCTGTAGGAGAGTAATAGAAAAATAATGGAAAACCTCTTGATACCTGGAAATGGGAGAGGTCCAACGTCAATGCCTGGGTGCTCAGGACCATATGTAGAATCAAAACGCCAGCTGGCCCTCAGGGGAGGTGGGAAGTCCATTCTAGAGAATCAGTCCTCCCAAGACTAGAATCTTCCAGTGACAGAAACCTCTGTCCCCAGCATAAGCCCAACACAGAGGCAAAACCACTGCCATGCACAATCCGGGACCTCAGGGGAGAGGGCTGCGGGGGATGCAGCCACTCAGAGAAGACTGAAACTGCTGCCCAACATCAGCAAGTCCCCCACCCTCCGATCTGCCTTGTATCACTTTCTTTTCTGATCCCATGATAAAAAACATTCTGACCAAAAGCAACTTGGGGAGGAAAGGGTTTATTTTAGCTTACACTTCTAGGTCATAGTCCATCGCTGAGGGAAGTCAGGGCAGGAACTCAAGACAGGAACCTGGATCAAAAACCATGGAGGAACAGGGCTCACTGGCTGCTTCCTGGTTTACTCTCTAGCTTTCTTGTACATCCCATATCCACTACAGTGGGCTGAGCTCTTCCATATCAAGCAAGATAATTTCTCACAGACATGGCCACAACCCACTCCTATCTGGGCAATCTCTCAATTACACTCCCTGAGATGACTCTAGGCCTTGTCAAGTTGCCAGCTGAAACTAACTAGGATACACTGCTTCAGGGAAAGCCTATTCCAAAGCAGCTAATCAAGTTCTGACTTAGTGAACAAATGATAACAGATTTTAGAACGTGTGTTGAACCCAGAACCTTTACCTCCTCTTTCCTATTGAATAGCAGCAAATGAGTTCACTTATTGGGATTACCTCCCCCAAAAGCTTTTCCTCAGTGTCTTTACTCAGGGCGGCAAAGGGATGTGAGTCCTCAAGCATCAGGGTTCCCCAAGCCTCTGCTGTCACCTCTGCTGACGCCCTATTGGGCAATGCAAGTCACATTACCAGGCCACAGTCTGAAACTCAAGGGTATGGGAGTGTGATTTGGTATGATTTGTGGACATTATTGAACAATCTACCAAGCTTATAAAATCCAATAGATACTTTAAAAGAGATCCTTTTCATGTTATATTAAACATATTTTATTTCTGAGTGTGGTCATTATATTAATATTTTCATTAAGCATTATGTTATCACAATTAGTTATTTGGCCTATTTGGTTGCTTGTGTTAAAGTTACTGATTTAGGGGCTGGAGACATGGCTCAGAGGTTAAGAGCATTGGCTACTCTTGCAGAGGACCCAGGTTCCTTTCCCAGAAAGGAATGACCATCCTTAACTGGAGTTCCAGGGGATCCGACACCCTCTTCTGATCTCCGTGGGCACTGCAGCATGTGGTGCGCTTACATATATGCATGCAAAGCACTCACATACATAAACAATTTTAAAAGTTAAGAAATTTTTATTTTTTAAAATTTTATTATTTTTATTTTATGGGTATGAGTGTATTGCCTGCATGTATGTGAGTGCACCCATGTCGTGCAATGCCGCGGACGTCAGAAGAGGACTTCAGATTCCCCTAGAACTGGAGTTAAGGACGGTTCATAGCCACCATGTGGGTGCTGGGAACTGAACCCAGGTCCTCTGCAAGAGCAGTTAGTGCTCTTAACCGCTGAGCCATCTCTCCAGCCCCATAAAGTTAAGACATTTTAAGTTACAAATTTATTAGATGGTTAATATGGGAAAAAACAAACAAAAAGGAAAATGTGGTCAGCATTTGCTCAACTTGGGGGTAGACTTGATTAGTCTAAGATGGTTCTGTTATTTCTGCTAGAAGCTTAGTTTAAGAAAGACCTGGGATTGCAACTGAGTTAATGACACAGAGACAAGATTTATTGGTGGCTTCTGAGAATGCATTTTCTCTCCTGAGAGCCTAAGAAGTCATCTTTCTCTGCTCGTACTTGCCCTAAATGAGGTGACACAGAGCTGGAACTATTGACAGCCAGCCAGAGCCAGGGCATTGCTGGACGGCAGAGCAGAGGTGGGAAGGAAACTGAGTCATCACATCACTGAGTTGCTGGATACACCAAGCCGGACACTTACCCCGCCTCTGAATTTCCAATGGTGAGCTAAGAAAGCTGATTTGCTTTTTCTTCCTTCCTTCCTTCGTTCCTTCCTTCCTTCGTTCCTTCGTTCGTTCGTTCCTTCCTTCCTTCCTTCCTTCCTTCCTCCCTCCCTCCCTCCTCCCTCCCTTCCTTCCTTCCTTTCTTTTCTGGGGATTAAATTTAGCACCTCACATATTCTAGGCAAGTGTCTACCAAAGAACTATATCCGTAGCACTCTTTATTTTATTTTTTCATTTTGAAATTGTTAGGTAAGGAAGGCCCAAGTTAGAGTGCTAGTTTGGTACCGACAGATACTAGGACTTATGAGAGTCAGATTCTTTAATAATACTGTACTCTGCAGGAGAAGCTGGGATAGGAGATCCAATAAACCCACAGAACAAAGGAATTTATTTATTTTTGTAGACAGCAGAGGGGAGTGGGTTGCTTTCTGATTTTAGTAGCTTAGTGAAGGTATTAGGTAGAGTATAAGACTGAAACTCAGAAAGCTAATCCTATCCTCCCACCCTAACTGGGGGCT